CACGCGGCACTCGGTTCCCACGCGGAGAAACACGCGGCACTCGGTTCCCATGTGGGGACACGCGGCACTCAGTTCCCACGCGAAGACACGCGGCACTCGGCTCCCACGCGGACACACGCGGCACTCGGTTCCCACGCGGAGAAACACGCGGCACTCGGTTCCCACGCGGACACACGCGGCACTCGGTTCCCATGTGGGGACACGCGGCACTCGGTTCCCACGCGAAGACACGCGGCACTCGGCTCCCACGCGGACACACGCGGCACTCGGTTCCCACGCGAAGACACACGCGGCACTCTGTTCCCACGCGGACACACGCGGCACTCGGTTCCCACGCGAAGACACGCGGCACTCGGCTCCCACGCGAAGACACACGCGGCACTCTGTTCCCACGCGGACACACGCGGCACTCGGTTCCCACGCGAAGACACGCGGCACTCGGCTCCCACGTGGACACACACTGCACCCATTTCCCACGGGACCCACGCTGCACCCACGTCCCACGCGGACACACGCCGCACGCACCTCCCGCTCTGGAATTGTTACCTTTGTTGGTCGCCGCCTCCATGGCCACAGGGAGCTGCATCAGGTAATCCACCCTCTCCGTGTAGCGGACTTTCCGGGTCTGGCAGCACTGAATGCGTTCTTCCACCAAAAATCGGAAAACGTCACTCGGGTTTTCCGAGCCGATGCGGTTCCTCTGCAGGACGGATGGCAGCAGGTTAGCGAAGGCGTTAAGGTCGAGTCACACGACTCGGGAGAAAACCAGCTATAAACCCGGTGTCAACACTTGGCTTCAGGCACCTCCTCTGGGGCTGCCATTCACAAAGTACTTGAATACAAAGCACTGGAATGTGTCTCAAGTCCAAAAACGGGCAACGGTAAAATAAAATACAGTTCCTCCTGGATTAAAATTTCAACATTGTCAAGTTTAAAAGCATGGGAGGGAAACTCATGGAATGAGAACAAAGGAGGAGGAAAAGCCAAGAAGAGAAAGGGGAAAAAATAAAGGGCTGCCCTGGACAAATGAAAGCAGGTACCACGGGATTCCACAAAGACACTCGTGGAATCAGGTAAGACAGAAACCACGCTCTGTTAACCCGTGTGGGGCGACGTGGCAAGACATCTGCCTGAAAACGCCTTCGGAGCAGCATGCAGAGAATGAACGTAAGACCTGGGCAGTGCCCGGAGGGGCAGACACCACCCTGTGAACACTGGCCGGGCGCAGTGGCTCATGCCTGGAATCCCAGCACTTTGGGCGGCTGAGGGGGGCGGATCACCAGGTCAGGAGTTCAAGACCATCCTGGCCAACATGGCGAAACCTTGTCTCTACCAAAAATACAAAAAATTAGCCAGGCCTTGTGGCAGGAACCTGTAATCCTAGGTACTCGGGAGGCTGAGGCAGGAGCATCACTTGAACCTGGAAGGCAGACGTTGCAGTGAGCCGAGATCGCACCATTGCACTGCAGCCCAGGTGACAGAGCGAGATTCCGTCTCAAAAAAAAAAAAAAAGAAAGAAAAGAAAAAGAAAACGCTGGCTATTTGCAGGGGTGGCATTAAGGGGGATTTTGATGTCCTCCTTGGTGTTTTCTATATTTTCCAGAAAGCATACTGCAGTAACTGAGGAAAAAAAATTGCTTTTTCACGGGCAAAAAAGCCTTTACTCAGGAATTCTCAGTGGCTTTCAAAAATGTTTTTAATGCGATTTATTCTGATGTGAACAGAGTCATCATCTTTGAACGGTGGCAGGGGACACCAAATGCCACACAGGGCTCTTAAGGAACTCTGTCACAAAGACCAGAGCAGGGAAACTGCGGGCGGGGTAAGCGGCAGGCACTCCCGTAACACACACAGGCTCAGAGAGGCAGCGCGGTCCACGAGTGACTGCAAACTGGCGTGTGAGGAGCGGTTACATCGAGTGGGCTGAGCAGAGAGAGTTTCCAGAAAGCCGATGCTGAAGCGGCTTTGACAAGAGAGACTGAGGCAGGAGGAGCGTGGGGAGGACTCTGATCAAGCCCCAGTGGACTCTGCGGGGCGGCCCGGCGCCTCTTACCACCCGCCAAGCACCCGTGAGGCTGACCACTCACCTCTACGAGATTCACCAGGTGCAGGAAGAACTCCTGGGCATCCTGCTGTCTGTTGGAGGAGAATTCCGGGTGGCTCTTGCTTACAAAGGCCTTAAACATGCGTGGAGAGATCCCATTGTGCTGCGGCTAAGGTGTAAAAATGAACGGACTCACAACGCTTTCGTGCACATTCTCAGCCCTAAGCGGCACGCAGAGCAGGGCTCCGTCAACTGCGCTTTCCAGATGAGAAAACGCAGCCCAAAGAGGGTCACTCCTGGCAACGGCCAGCACTCACTGGGTGTTTACTGCGTGCCAGGCCAGGCGCATGGACCTTGTGAAGAGCAGGACGACACTCCTCCTGCTTACCCAGAACTAGTGAGGAGCAGGACGACACCACTCCTGCTTACCCAGAACTAGTGAGGAGCAGGACGACACCACTCCTGCTTACTCAAAACTAGACACAATAGGTGGCATGCTAGAAAGAGCTCACTTCCTGAAGACAGGCTCGAGGCCCGTCCTCACACAACTTGTTACACAGTGGCCAAATGTCACAGCCCATTTCAGAGCAGGCTGGAGATGACTCAGGAGGAGAGGCCTCTGCTGGAAGTTAAAAGACAGGCCGGGCTCTGTGGCTCACGCCTGTAATCCCAGCACTTTGGGAGGCCGAGGTGGGCAGATCACTTGAGGTCAGGAGTTCAAGACCAGCCTGGCCAACATGGCTGAACCCTGTTTCTATTAAAAATACAAAAACTGAGCTGGGCGTGGTGGCGCACACCTATAGTCCTAGCTACTCAGGAGGCCGAGGAGGGAGAATCTCTAACCTGGGAGGCGGAGGTTGCAGTGAGCCGAGATCGCCCCATTGCACTCCAGCCTGGGCAACAAGAGCAAAATTCCATCTCAATAAATAAATAAATAAAAGAGAGGAGAGCTCTGCAGGCTCTCACCTTCGCTTCCGTGAGGCTAAAGGAGAGGCCCCTCCTGAAGAACAGAGCACGTGCAAGAAAGAGGAACGGCACTGAGTGCCCGGGGCAGCCCTGCAGAGCTGCTGCTGCCCCATGAGCCCACCCTCTGCTGTTCCTGGACCGGAGCACAGGGCATTCCCAGGAGCTTGCCGAGGGCTTGCCCCTCACCTGGCTGCAGCTGCTGGGAAGGCTGCGGGGAGGAGCAGGCAGCAGGGTGGCTCTGGCAGAAGAAGGATGCTGGACTTCCTGGGGATACCCGGACGGCTCAGAAGCCAGCCGGATGCCCACGCAAGACCCTGCGGAAGTGGTGGGCTGTCTGCCAGTGGAGAAGGCCCAGGCAGGAGGGGGTGAAGGCTGCAGAGGCCATGGGACAGAGCATCAGGGAAAGTTCCTTGTAAGGCCCCGAGGGTGGGATGACAGTGAGGGGAGGCAGCTCTAAAGAACCACTAATGTGCTCCCTGAAAGGCCAGCTATGACCAGAGACACGTGGCGGCCCAGAGGGAGCCCACCAGCGCTGGGAGTGAAGATTCTGCGTTCGCTCCCCTCCAATCCCCTTGACCCTGGACGCTGCGGGGCCCAGCAGCGGGTGGAAAGAGGCAAAGAAGTGGAACAAGGATCCCGCCCCCGCCCCACCCCCACCACAAAAAAAAAAAAAAAAATGCTGCCAACACTAATGCTTCAGCACTGCTGTTTTCTGAAACTCTTGAGCTGGGCAGAATGAAGAAGCCTACACCTGGCTTTTGAATTAACCCGCAGAAAATCACTAGGAACCGGGAGGTCTGCCCAGAATGCTCTGAAGAGGCAGGTGGGAGAATCCACATCGCCTTTGGTGGCAGACACGTGCACCTGACAGGCTGCTTCCCAAACATTTCCTCCAAGTTCAGCCCATCCACGGATGGTGGCAGCTCCTCTCTCGTTAACACACGTAGTAACCCTAGAGAGCAGACACTAGTCTTTTCTTCACTAGGGAAGCTGAGACTGCAGAGAAGTGCCAGATCGGCCTCTCAGCTCAAAGTGGACTTGACACCCGACTGCCATGCAGCCAGCAAAGCCTCGCCAGAGTGACTCTGACTGCAGTTCCGGGCCGTCTGCGGCAAAAACAAGTGAGTGGGTCCTGAAGCGCACTTAGGTCTCAGTCAGGCCAACCTCCCTCCTCATTTCAGCCGAAGAAGTGATCTGTGTTCCCTCTGCAAATCCTGCAGCTGCTATCCACCCGTTTTTCCATAAAACCTCCCTTTGCTTAGCTTACAGACCACACTCCTCTCCTCTGAAGGCCAGAGCACAAGCTGCCTTCTACCTTCTTTCACGCTCAGCCTGCTTCTGGTCGGTCGTGCAGGCTTTGCAGGTGGAGGCCATGACTTACACCTCCTTGGATTCTCATGGACATCCGGGTCCATGCCCGCCTGTAGTCTGGGGACTATGACAGCTTTGCAGAATCACACAGTCCTAGGCAACAGGTGATGAGAAAATTCTTCATCTATCTCCCTGCGACAAAGAGGCAGCTCCATAAACATCCATCCAATACACGTGTTCTAAGCAATGTTTTCTAATAAAAATCTGATGAATTTCCCTGCCTTGCTGAAAACACAGTCCAGGCTGGGCTTTTAGTATTTAGTAGCTGCCTGCTTCATGTAGAGCACTATTGGAGATTCTGCCTTCTAGTAGCTTCCAGACAACAGAGGAGATGAGGGACACACACCCCGAGAGTAAACGTTAGGGAACACCACAGAGGACCTGAAACGATACTGCAGCTCTCAAAGAATCCCTCAAAGCGGCAGCATCTGGGCATCTAGGGACTGACAGCCTGTATGTCAATGACCACCTTACATGGCTTCAGTTGTGTTTCCAGCACTGGCCAAACAGCAATTCATTTTACTACCTGTATAAACACCTCCCGAAACCTGTGCAAAAGTCGTAAGTTTCTTCATTCACGGAACTGATATGCATCGCATAACATCCACTGACACGGGCGTGCAATAATGCATTAGCTTTGTCTAATGGCTGACATTTATGTACTCATTAAGCAGGTGTCTACTGAGAGCTATAAAATCTCAGGCGTTTGGGTGAATACCTACTACGTATCAGGCACAGTTCTTAACACTTTACATATGTATTTCACTTAACTCACCCAACCCCATGAGGCGACGATGATGATGATTAGCTCCACTTGACAGATGGGGAAACTGAGGCACAGAGGTGTTAAGTCCAGGGTCACTCTCCCCATTCCCTCCGTCTGGTGTCCTGATGCTGGTTTTGGTACGCATGTGCCAACATCTCATCTCTGAGGTGCCTGAGTCCATCCCACTAGCCACTCAAGAAAAGACAATATATCGAGAGTGCATAAGCCTTCTTCAAACCCACAGAACTCTGGGGCCAACGTCATAAGCCAGTCTAACAGTTCTCCACCTTCAAGAATATGGTGGCACCACTCGGAATCAATCTCCTGGCGTCTGTGCATTTCTGTTTAGGCATTTACATAAGCATGCATTCACTGCTGGCTGCTGCCGGTGTTATTTCTTACAAGCTGTGATTCAGGTCTGGTGTGGTTGCCAGTCCCCAACACAGACCACAGCCGCTCTGGGAAGTTTAACGAGCCGGTACACTCTGAAGAGCAAGGTGCTGCGCTGGGCATCGTGTGGCCAGGAGGAGAAGTTTCAGTAGAGACCATGGTGGGAAACACTGGGAATCCAGCCCCACAGCTGGACCCTGGCCCAGTCTCAGCCATTCCCCATCCTACACTTCTGTGACCATTTCTTCATTTTCCTCAACCAATTTTTCCTAATCCTCTGCTCAACAGTCAAGCTATGGCTTCAGAGTTGGCAATCATTTAGAAGTTACGTGAAAAAGTTTCCTCACCAAACAGATGCTACGCCGCAGACCAGGTCCTGGGGTTCGCAGCTGGGCGGGAGCGTCTTAGCTCAAACTCATCTACTCCAAGCTTAGTCCCTGGACCGTCGGCTGGCCCTGGCTGCTAACAGCCATGCCCCACGCCTGCTCTCTGCTTTCGGAGGGGATGTCTCGCCACTTCCCATGCTCAGCTACTAATATGCTCACTTCACATCTACTTATGAGAAAGTCAGGCTCTGAAAAAGTTGAGCCTGAATCTCCTGAAGCCTCCAGATCCAACAACCTTAAATAAATCACAAATCAAACAATATCTCGAGGAAGCGATCTTTAGCTTAAAGCAAACGATCCAGCTCCTTCATCGAATCAACAGTTTGCAAAAAGAAACGGAGGGGGACTTTAGAAAGATACCTTTGATAATCCAGGGAAAAATCAGAAGATGAACTAGGTATCAGCGATACTAAGCGACGGTTGTTAATTTTGCTGCTACACTTTTAACACTTTAAGCAACTTTTTTTAAAAGAGATAAAGTCTTGCTGTTGCCCAGGCTGGATGGCAATGGTGTGATCACAGCTCACTGCAACCTCAAACCCTTGGGCACAAGTGATCCTCCCACCTCAGCCTTCCAAGTATCTGGGACTACAGGCGCATGCCACTGTGCCCAGCTAATTCTTTTATTATTAGTATATTTTCCTAGAGACATAGGTCTCACTGTGTCACCAGGTTTGTCTCAAGCTCCTGGGTCCAAGCAATCCTCCCTGCCTCAGCCTCTCAAAGTGCTGGGATTACAAGTGTGAGCCACCACACCCGGCTGAACACTTTAACTTTGACACAACACTTATGTTACAAGAAGAAAGAAGGTATTATAGTTACAGGTGCATATATAGGTGAAAAGGAGGATGTTTAAATTTTACATTAAAATGCTGAAGGGAAAGAAGAGGAAGAGAAAAGGAGAAAGGAAATGAAAGGGAAGCATTTAGGGAAACTGGTGGAACCAGATTTGCAGAATGATTGCTGAAGCCGCACAACAGGTGCACGGAGATTCATTACACTTCACTCTCTACTTTCGTATATATATGCACATTTAAATGTTTCCTTTAAAAAAAAAATGGTTAGGTTCTGGATAAGGCAGTTCGCTACAAGAAACCAAATATCCAAAACAAGAACCATCTAATTAAATTCAAGAAAGCATGTTTCCCACTTAACAATGGGCTGGTGATCACCTGAGTGTGCCTATGGGCCCAACATCTCACAAGATGAGAGGCAGAGACCAAAATTGACCAAGAGTCAGCCCTGCCTTCAGGGAACACACACTCTCACTTGAGAGCTGGCTCCCAGGCG